GGGGTAAAAAACAAAGGGGATTTTTGTCATATGTTGTGGCCCTGTGATGTGTTGCAACCTTTCTGGAGTTCAGTAATCTGTGTAATCTCTGTGCTCTGTGTCATCTGGGCTTTGTACACTAGGCACAAGCAAATGAAACACTTGATAGATTCTAAAGGAAATACACTGATCTTGCACTTCTAGCTGCAAGGACATGTGTAGTGCTTAAATGGGTGTCCCAATATGTAACTACAGTTTCACATTGGCTAAATGAAATGGTTCTTAATAACATTTACTATGAGCTGGGCATTTGACTTTCGGGGACTCTAGGAAAGAAATCTGACTTGTATTTATGATATTGGCTAATTTGTTGCTTTGTTCTTGTTACTTTAATGCATCTTGTAAATATCTATATTTACTTTGTGAATGGGAAAAGAAGAATTTTAAAATAAAGGGATAAAAAAATCTCATGCTAACACAACTATATTAGAATAACTGTAAACTATAATAAATATTTAAAGCAGGTGGGTCATAATTTTACTGTTTGCTTTGTTGTACTCGTATTGCTCCATCTTTGTTGAAGCAATGTTGCTGTTGAATACCAGAGTCTTTCATTCTTGTTTAACTCAGTGTTCTTGTTAATGATATGGTGGTGGACAACGCAACGAAACACCCAATTACTGGAACTATTCTTGTGTGTTAGATGAGCAGACTCATCCCTGTCTGTCATCCGTCATCTCCTGCATACATAACCTAGTTGAGAAATTTACGGTGATTTGATTGGCAAGCATGAAAAATATTAAGACGTCCTTCACCAGACTGCACACAGGAACAGACTCTTAATATTCAGCCAGCCCTAAAGAGAGATCTCACTCTCACACCGTGTGCGCTCACAGTGCAGCAGAGAGAGAGATGCATGACACTTACACAGGTGGGGTGGGGGGGGCTCTTAAAGAACAAGTGAGGGGATGCAAACGAGGAGAAGATGCTGTGATAAAAGAGCATAAAAGAAGACAAGGGAGAGGGAGAAGGGAGTTTAAGCCCAAGGATAAGAAGAAGAGATGGGCCTGTTCCATAAAAGCAGCAGAGGAGATAAAAAGAGGTAGAAAGAAAAAAGCCACAGTGGATTTGAGTTAAGTGCTATCTCGGCGAGCAGAGTAACTCCTGTACTGACGAGACAGTGACCACATCAAACGACGTGTGCTGCAGCATTGAAAAGGCATTAAACACACTCACACGCATGCATGCTTGCTTCATCTGTCCAGTAGTTATCTTGTGGAGACGGTGCAAGCCAGCAGTTGTCATCCATAAATCCTGACGCCACTGTTGCCTGAATGTGGAGTCAGTACTGGGTTGATCCAGATAGAGGGGAAAAGATTGATGGAAACACAGTGAAGGAAGTGGAGGAGATGACGGAAATGAAGGGTAGAGGGAGAAAGAATCAACATGGTGGAAAGGAGATGAAAAGAACTGGCAATGAAAAGGAACAAAAATCAAGAAGCTCCGGAGACAAAGGAAAGACATGAGGCAGTACAAAGTGAAAAAACAATGTGTCACAATATTCCACATTATGAGAGATTGTTGAGCAAGGAAAGAAAGAAAAGTGAGAGGAAGAAAAGAAGTGACACCAAGTGAGAGAAGCGGGATGAAAAGAAGCCAACACAGAGGAGGATGTGTCACCAAATCAGGACATGAGGAGAAGAAGAAGTTTGCACAGGAAGTTGAAACGGAGACAAGGAATGAGGGATGAAGATGAAGTAAAGTGGAGGATTGGACAGAGTGTTTACTCGTACTATCAGGAGTCCCCTGCTAGCTTTTACTGCTTCTAATCCTGGGAAGAGTTATCCTTCCTCAAACTGGAGCGTCAAGCTGTGCTTATATCACTCCAACCCAGATAATTCCAGTTCATACTGATCTGCCAGTTAGAAGTCTTTTCTGGTTCACATTGCCTACAGAGTAATTACTTAAAATCATACTTCAAAGGTTCAGCTGAATGAGCAGAGGCTGTGTTAATGATCTTTTTTAAGGGATTTCTATAATTTTCTGCTGTTGGGGTTTGTCATATTTTTTTTATTAAAGTTTCAGTGACTCAGAATATTTACTGGTTCTAAATGCTGTTGCTTAGCAGTAATTGCCGAAAATCCTGCCAAAAGGCTGGAGCTGGATTTACTACCTGGCGAGAAACTTATGGCAGGAGCTGCTGGGAGCTTGTTAATTCCAGTGGTGTAACTCTTTCAGACAAATTGCTCTTGTTTGTGTGATATACTGATGCATGGTATATGCACTTTAAGCATATGGGACATTTTGAGCCATCTAGTCAGCGTTTCTACAGTGTTTCCACAAAATATTTTATTATGAGATACAGAAAGCGGACGTGTAACGTGTTTCACAAAAGAAACTTGGCTTAAATTCAGAGAGATCCTGTGAAATGTTGAGCTCTCGGATGATATTTATGGCTGCATGATGGTAAACAAGTGGAGACGTGCCATTTGTGAAGGGTAATTTATATCAGAGACCCTCATGTTCTATCAGCATCCACAGCTATTGGGCCTATTATGTCCATATTCATTAATTACAGTTGCTGTCTCTGGAATTGCCTCCAATTTATAGCCCTTGACATACATTCACAGCAGAAAAAGTCGTAGTTGGCCCATTCATTTTTATGCAGGTCTTTTTTTTATTATTATTATAATTCAGTGGGTGTATGTGTTCATTGACATGCAAAGCAAAGATCAAGGTATTCAAGGCAATTTTTACCCCATTATTAGCACCCTGTCTGCCAACTCAGTTCACCCACTATGAAGCATACACTAAATGATACCAGAGTAATTATCTATCGAGCTGAAATTATTCATAGATTCTTATTGTGTGGTGTAATTTTTACCCTTTCATCCTATACACTTCGATTATTTCGTACAGTAGGTGGTGTGGTGTGATTACTTTGTAAAAGTGAGCGAAATGTGAAGTGCCGCACTGTGTGTCTGCAAAAAGTTTAATTTTAATTTTCTTTTTGGCTTCTTTAAGAGTTGGGACTTGACTTTAGTTTGTGAGGTGTCTAAAATTATAGGGCTGTTTGGAATGAAAGTCATGGCTGAAATAATTTTTCTGTAAAGAGTTTAACTTTTTAAAACTTTTCTCCTTTTAATAACTGACTTTCAGTAAGTAAAGAAAACGTGTAACATTATTGCACTTAAGCTAGACTTGACTTTATTTTGGTCCAGCCTCTGTGTCAAATTCCCCCCCAAAAATCTGAATTTACTATATATACACAAAATCACTGATGATGAGAGGTTAGATACAGTAACCATGAAGGTCGTTGTCATTTAATTTGTAGTTGCTGAGCTGTGTGTTTCTAACATTTCCACATACGCTACAATATAATATTCAGAAAATACAGCACATTCTGGTTGTAGTCTGAATGGGATTTTCCACTGAGAAAGATTTGTTCTCATCAGCAAGTGAAAATCCTGCACACTATACCTCAGGTTTGTTAACATCAAATTACCTGTTGTTTTCTGTAGACGCCATCCTTTTAAAGCCTATTGTAAAGTCTTTGTGACTGCACTACAACAGACAGACCAGTCAGTGTCTGTGGAGTTGAAGGATCACTAATTTGGATCAGTAGAGGTCCTTCAAAATTTATTAGGGCTTAATAGGATACTTAAATGGACTCCAATATTTGAAACTTTTTTTATTCCCCAGAAGCATCGAGTACAGAGTTAGTTTGAGTAGCAGGTAGGGATTTCTTGGGCTGATACATTCAGCCTGTCTCAGCACTGTTCTCAATCCAAACCTGTTTCTATGTGCCAAAACTTTCACAACCTTCCCAGTTAGACAGCTGTTGACATTGTACAGAGAAAATGTAGTTCTTTTAAAGGTTTTCTATTTTTGTTAACATGCTGAAAATTCAATACATCAGTTTAGAAAGTTTTGTACAACCCCATCTGTGTTGTCCTTGGTTTATTGGTTTACTATATGTCAAAGTATCGGAGTCATTGCCGTTGAAGGATCTTACAGGCTACAGTTAAGTTTGAAAGGGTGCCGACATGTAAAATGGCTCTACGTTGGTAGTGTCATCAGATTTGTGGATGATGGAGTTCACTCTGTTAGAAACTTTGTCAAAACATTAAACATTAGATGTTTGTGGTAATATTTTGTATGTAAACTAACAGAATATTAGAGCAAAACTGTGAAATGGTGATGTGTGTCACAGACATAAAAGTTATGACAGTGACTTTTGCTTTCATCTGAGGTGAATTTGTATTACTCCATAATACCACATTATGGTCTCTCTGTTCTTGCTTCTATGCTGTGTCTGTTCTTTTCATTAGCTGTCTGTCTCCCTGCTTGTGGATTAAAAACAGTGAAATGTTCTTCGCTTCCTCAGCTCGCTCCTACAAAATACTGCTTGTGTGTTTGTAAGAAATCACAGACTGCACACACACAAACACTCATGCAGAGAATGGCTTCTCTCACCACTTGTAACAGGCCACTACAAATTTGTTTTCATTAACACAGGGCTGGAAAGTACAGTGAGGTGCTGAGGATGCACACCATGTGTTTCTCCTCAGCATAGATCAGAAGCGTACACACAGACGCTCCTACACACACACACACTGGGCATGCAGGTACAGACATTTGCTTCCCTCTATGTATCATTTTTCCTTGGAATAAAAGAGAATTTGACTGGAAATAGTTTGATGTAAGCCTTTTAAACCTTTCTCATGCTGAAGCAAACTGAAGCTGAGCTGCATTATGATTTCAAAAACTTCAAAATTGAAATTCTCTCCCTCCCTCCCTCTGTGTTCTTCTGATTATCCGTGTATCCATTCTCTCTTTGAGTCACATTGGTTTATGGCTTTTTGGTGTCTTAGTGGCGTTTTGTGGTTTAACCATTGACTTGCTGTCATGTTAGCACATCTTTATAATTAATATCATTTTCATTCATCAATGCATGAGGTATTTGTAGTAGTCCTCTGGCTTTTCCAAAGCTGATTTAAATGTTTTTAATTGCTTTTCAGTTCCAGCTCCGAGAAGGCTGCGTTTCAAAGTGCTGAGCTCAAGTAAGCTCCTTGTTTCATGGAAGGAACCCAGAGGAGACTTTGACAGCTACCTGTTCCTCTACAACAGTATACCAGGTAGAATGACTGTGCATGTGCTCGCACACACAAACACACACACGCACAGAAAATGCTTCTATAGCATGTCAAAGAGAAGAGGGACTTTTTTGGCCAAGTATCCCATTATGACTTGGATTTTCTCTTTTTTAGGAAGGATTATGTAATTTACTTCTTAGCAAAGCTCTTCTGAAGGGCTTACACTCCCGAGAGATGTGGAGGACTCAAAGTTTGTCCTGCACTTCTACCAAGCTTGAGACAAAGGAGTGTTTTTGCTGCATGTCAGCAGATTTTAAACGGAGACTGATAGAAACACAGGGCAGTAGGACCTTCACCAGGACAGCTGACTGACAGCGGCAGCCATAGCAGTCGTTCATTCAGCATTAAACAGCATTATCACTACATGGAGTTGTGGGCATGATGGACACCTGACATCCTGCATTTGTCAGGAGTCAATTATGGGACAGACACTTTCTGGGCATGCACACTGTAGTCACTAATCACCGTAATTACCACTGACATCTCTGTCGTCACCGTGCCCCTACCTTCACAGTCGTACTTCTCCTCTTACAGTTGTCAGTTCCTTGACAACTGCTGCAGCGCTACCTGTATTTGTGTTGTATTACTGCTGTGCTGAACACTGCTGGCAGTTCGTTCACATCTGCTGATAAAAAAGAATGACGAAGACTGAACAAGCAGTCTGTGACATAAAACTTGTTTCTTACAAGCAACTCTTTGTGAGAAACGTTACTATAACGTGACATTTTCTTGCTGCCTCCTCAGACAGCTGAAAAGAGAACAAAAGCTGAGATTTATGTCCATTTCCTCTCGGGGACGAATGAAGCAGTAGCTCACTGACATTCAGCAAATCCAATAAAAAAACGACTTTTGAAGTGCCGTTGCTGTTCCCGTAGAAGGTTTGGCTAATAAAACCGTCTTTGCTGACAAGAAGGATGATGAAACCTGTCTTAATGTCCAGTCTGTTCTGACTCCTGTAGTTTGTCAAATGAAGTGAATAACTGGCACAGTGAAGGTCAGTAACACCGGCTGAAGTCCCTTTTGTTGAGAGAGAAAACACCATTTTAGATTACACAAGGGCCAGCTAACATTTTATTTATTTCCCCGTTTCTCAAAGTTTTTTTGGGGGGGGGAAGCAACTAAAGTTCAACAGAATAAGGATTCGGCTTTAAGGTCAACTTACTTTTACCAACAAAAATAACTAGCTTGCTTGGGGTTTTTTTTTTCTTTCTTTTTTTGTAATGCTCTTATCATTTGTCCCCTGACAGTTTTAGCCATTATCAGCTTGTATTTTTGTAGACAAGATTGCTCAGGTCTTTTGCTTTAAAGCTTATTTAAATGAACTGTTTCTCTGTCCAGTGGCTTTATTCTCTATTTTGAATTGTTATGTAACACACAGGCTGATTTTGTGGTAGATAGTGGCTTTAATTAATTAATCTAATCAATTGTGGAACTATCCATTAAAGGCAAACATTGGAGATTTTTAGGCAATTTGAAAAAACAAAAACACCTGAGAAACGCAGCTGGAGTAGCTGTTGTTACATCTAATGGCCACAGGCCAAAGGGCAAACTTCAACAAGCGACGCTAAAGTGAGCTTTGTGCAATTTTGGAAGTATTTTCACGGCATATTTTTCAGTTTTACAACAGAAAAGACTCAAGACATGTAGACTAAGTGGTTGTTCTTATTAAAGGGCAGCCAGCAGGTGCTTCCAGGGAGACTGTGGCTGCTGATAGGCTCCTAGGCTACCTGTTAAGCAGCCTATCAATAACATGGTCTAGTATGGAGTTGGAGCCAGGAGTTGTTTAGCTTAGCATAAAGCCTGGAGCATAGGGAGTCAGCCTGGCTCTCTCCAGAGCTGAAAAAAAAACATCAAATAACAGAGTTGCATTTTTGTTTAATCTGCGTACTAAAATGTAAAATAAGTCTGGTGGTTATACAGAGAATTATTTTCTTAAACAGTTTAATGCTTTTCATTTTAATAACTGAGATACAGCTTGTTAATTCGTGAGCTTCTTAGAGAGTGGGAGGGGTGTCTTTAACCCCCGTTGCCCTTTACCTGTTGGCTATAGCCTCATATGTGGCACACACAGGCTGTTTCAGCCCGAAACGGACATGACAGGGGATGAATCACCTGCTGGGTGTAGAAAATAATGAGGCCTGGTTCTCCCAGTTGAAAAGTTTAACCAGGTGATTGCAGGTAAGCTCTCTAATCCGTATTTGTTGACACAGACTAAACCCATTTCAGTCATGAAGAATATATCTCTGTAGGTAAGGGAAAAACTGTGAAGAAAGTAAAAACTAGAGATGGGCCCGATCTCATCCTATATCAGTATTGGATGCGATATTGACGTCATTCACTCATCAGATATCACACGGACAGGTCTGATCTATAATCCAGTCCGTGCCAGACCATGAACATATGCTAACCTACAATGTAGCATAACGCAACGTGAGACGCGTCATCAATCCAGATTTTGTTCCACATCTTACCGTAAACCCACGGCAACTTCAGTCTGTAACCACGTGAGTAAATAACACTAGCTGCTGGTTTGACCAAAATGTCACTTTGGAGATATTTTAGTCTGGAAATGCCGAAAAGCAAGAGAGCTGCTGATTTTTTCCATAAATGTACAGACTTACAGCAGACAACCCAAAGGCTACAGGGATTACAGAGAAGTTCCTCAGCGTCATTATGCTTGACCAGCCACTATCTGTAATGGAGAATGTTGGATTTTGCAGTCTGTTGGAGCACTTAAGAGCCCAGGTGTAATTTGCCATCCAGAAAATATATTTCAGAGACTGCAATACCGAGTGCTGGGTGGTTTTAGCTCTAAGAAATTTGAGACACATAATCTTAGTGCTGGCAGCAGTTGCGTAATGGCCCAGAGAATTTTTGGGGAGAGATCTGGTTTATTGACTAAACTAGTCCCGGTATGGTGTTAGCACTGATCCATGCAATTACCTTACCTGACCCGCCATCCTCTTCAGTAGGATTTATCTCCCTTCTCCTAAAAGCATCGTTAGTCATCACCCTCTTACCCTGCAGGGACAGGGGACAGAAGAGCTGAGAAAGCACACACAGGCACTCCTTATTAATGGCCACATTGATTGCAGAGTCAGAAGTGAAATGGGGCGATAATGTGACCTGATGGCCTGATGGGGATTAACTGCAGACACAAGCACCACACACACACACACACACACACACACACACAGAGTTTTGTGTTTCTGTGTGAGGGTCAGTAATTTATCTGAGCGACAAACTGTATTTTCCTAATCTGAAAACCTAAAACGAACTATAAAGTTTCATCCACTACAAATAAACAGAAAAACACTCACTTTTTTCTATCATTTCACTATTTTTGTGAAGACATCAGCTCTTCACAAAGACAGAAGCACGAGAACATTCACATAAACAAATTCACTATGGAACTAAATATTTTGACCTTGAAGGTAATGTTTGCTTTTGCAACGAAGAATATTAATCAGCTGTTCTGCTGAATTAACATCACATTGGCCCGGTTGTGAGAATGCTAATATTTTGTTTTCAAGCAGCTGAAAATAGCAACAAGACATGACAAACGCTTCATCAGACGTATCCAGGAGTCCAACCTTTTTCCTGTCTTGCTCTTCTTCTCTCTCTCTGTCAGGTGGTCAGCAGAGGGAGATCACTCTGCCTAAATTTCACAATAAGGTGTTGATAACGGACTACAACTCCACACTGGACTACACCTTCAGCATCATCGTCGTCAGCGGCAGCAAGCAGAGCAGACCACTCCAGGGCAGACATAAAGGTGTGTTCATCTATTTTGCTCTATGTTCTGTTGTTGTACTGTGTTGCGTAGTTCCCACCTGCTGTGCTCTTCAGTCTATCAAGTGCTGTTCTGCACTGCTCTGCTCCTCAGTTGTACTTGACACTACACTGTTATGTTTTTCTCTCAAGTCCTTTCAAGCTTTTTGTCTCCTCTCCTCATTTCTCTCCTTTCCTCTCTACTCACCTTTGCTCCGATATACTGTCATGTACTCCTGTGTTGTTTCCTCTCCTTGTTTCCCTTTTCTTCCCTTGTTTTCTCATGTCTGCCTTTTCCTTTTTCTCATTTCCCCGTTTTCTCCTGTTTCCTCTCCTCTTTTCTGCATGTCCTCTTGTTTTCTCTCCTCTCAGTTCTACATATTTCCTCTTGTTTCTTTGTTTTCCTTCTTCTTGTTTCTTTTCCTTTTTTCTCCTTGTTTCCTTTCCCTCCTCCTTTCCTTTTTTCTTTAATATCCTCTCATCTCCTCTGCTTACTTTTCTCAGTAATGGTATAGTCAGCTTTTTCATGTGCTTTATTCTATTTTTTTAACTTTTGTACTCAATTTTCTGCTCTATTTCTCCTGAGTCTCTTTTTATTTGGCTCTGTTTTAATCTGTTTTTTTTTTTTTGCATACATGAATGTGATTTCTTCATTACCATATGTCTCTTTAAAATAACTGCATTTTATTCTATGGAATTCTGCCAATATGTGATTGGTTTGTTTTATCTGCTGTAGCTGAAAAGGGTGAGAGTGACGGAGGAGATGAGACTGGGCCCCAGAGGCTGCCTGATTCAGCGGTACCTCCAGAGGATGCCAACAAGATCTCTGGAGGTAGGACAAATACACGCCAAATCGGGTTCCAGGAAAGGAAGCCATACACAAATCCTTCACTCACATGAATATATAAATAAAATGAATTGCGCTCAGTAGGACTCTGCTCAGAGAGTCCTTTTCAGTCCGTTGCTATGGTGATGTTTGGAGGTAGGAAAAACAGCTGGATGCAACTGTGAAGTGTTTTCCCCTCATGTAGAGTTTACAGTCTACCTTTTGAAGTAGTACTCAGACATCCATCCACCTGGTGGTCTACTCAGCCACCCAGTGAGAGTAAAGATGTCAAAACCATCTTTGCCTCACTGGTGAATCATTCACAGTTTACAGTGTCTCCTGATACGAGGTGATGAGCGACTTGCACTGCTCACTTGTCTGTGTGGCTGCCTGTTAATTTGAGCTCCTCTCCCCAGCAACACCGTTGGGTTCTCTGTTTACTGGAAAAAAGATGCTCTTCTATTAGTAGCATTAATATCGTCATATTTAAATGTCTGCTACCTCGTCTATTATCAAATGTGAGCGAAGAAAGAGAGGCATTCCTTTTTTTTTTTTTTTTTTTTTTTTTTTTGAGTAAACTGACCTGACTTATTTTACCTTAGCCATAAGTTCTAAGGGGAGTCTTTGATTATTGAGTAACCGATAGTTTGTTATATATATTGTTTTTTTTTTGTTTTTTTTTTT